GGTGAAGATTTTGAAGCTCTGTCTCTCACTTTGGGCACATGTCCAGGAGGGACTGGTCCTTTGAGAAGGACATCTTGCTCAGAAGGGTGGAGGGACAAGGGTGGCACAAGAAGAGGAAGGCACTGGATGAGATGGATTGATAACAGTAATTAGGGCAATGGGAGTAGGTGTGTCGGAGTCAGTGAGACTGGCTTAGGATAGGAAAGGGTTCAGAGTGGTTGTACATGAGTGTTGTATACCCTACTAGTTGGAGTTGACTTGATGGTACATAACAACAATGATCTAATATTCATACTTACACAGGAAAGACATGTTACTACTATTCAGATTTACACACCAAACACTAATGCCGAAGGGTGCAGAAATTAAAAAAATTTTATCTTTTGAAAATTAAGAAGGGAGCACGTCAGGGATATATCCTTACTTCATAAAGAAGAATGTGGCATCAGGATTAGAGAACAATTCATCAGCAACCTGGATTATGCAGATGCCTAAACAAAGGGACCTTGAAACATTTGCTGCAGAAGATGTTGCATCTCAGCATCAAGAAAACAAAAATCTTCACCTAACCAATAGGCAGCATCATGATAGATGGAGAAAAGTTTGAAGTTGTTAACAATTTTCTCTTTCTACGATGCTCAATCAGTACCTGTGTGGCCAACAGTCAGGAAATCAGGAGACGGGGTGTGTTGGGAAAATCTGCCTCTCCAGTGTGCTAAAGAACAGCTGTGTTAGTCTAAAGACTGAAGTGCCCCTGATCCAAGCTACAGTCTTCTCAGTTGCTTACTCTTCATCTGACATTTGGACAGTGATGAAGGATGACAGAAGAATCAATACCTTTGAGTTTTGGTGCTGGAGAGTAGTTTTGAACATATCATGAACTACGAGAAAACAGATAGGTGTGTCTTGGAGAGGGTGAAACCAAGTTTCTCCTTGGAGGCTAGGATTTTGAAGCTCTGTCTCACATACTGTGGGCATGTGGCTGACCAGGAGGGTCCGAGTCTTGGAAAAGAACATTATGCTCAAAAGGGTGGAGAAACAGCACAGGAGAGGAAGACTCTGGATGAGATGGATTGATAGAGTAACTGGGGCAGTGGGGGTAGGTGTGTCAGAGTCAGTGAGACTGGTTCAGGACAGGGCAGGCTTCGGAGCTGCTGTACATAGGGTCGCTATGAGTTGTGGGCAACTTGACGGCACATAAATAACTCCACTCTTTGGTTTATCCATTCTACTATTTTTTTTCCTCTTGGCACTTAATCCATTCACATTCAATGTAATTATAAATAGAAATTCTTTTTATTGCTGTCGTTTTGTTGTGCTCCTTTCTTTAATGTTGCTCGTTTCTTTGCACCATCTGCTTGATGTTGAGATGTAACCTATATTGAAGATTCAAAACCAAAGCTAGTTGTCATCTAATTGGTTCTGATTCTTGGCAATTCATGTTTCAGAGTGGCACTATATTCCAAAAGGTATTTCCATGGCTGCTTTTAGCTTTCTTTCCCAACCAAAACTCACCTCTGGGTGGGCTTGAACCACCAGTTTTTCTGTGAGTGGCCACTCAGGGAATCCCCATGCCTCCCCTCTTCTCTTTTATGCTATGATGATGCATGATATCTGAAAATATATGTCATTTATTCTTTGCTGTTATGTACCTTCAAGTTGGAACTGACCCGTAGCTTACCCTGTGGCAGGTTTTCAGAGGCAGTTAATCACAAGGAAGGAGATTGCCCATCCTTCTGCCATGGAGCAGCTGGAGGATTCGAACCACGTGCCACTGGGATTGTAGCACAGCTTCTTGCCACTAGGCTATCAGACCTTACTCCTTGTAATTTGAATTCTCTTCTTACCATAGAGACATTCTAAAATCAAATTGAGTAACTTTCCCTTCAATTCCCGTTCTGGAGTTTTTTATTTTTGTAATAACATTTAACACTTGACTGCTTCTTTTGTTACTCTCTAACAGAACTGGTTGCTTTATTAATATTTCTCCAGGGTAATAACTTTTACTTTCATCTTTTACTTCACTACTACCACCATTTTGTTTTACCTATCCTCGTCCTTTGATGAACTAGTTCTAAGTAGTTGATCAAAATAAATTTAACCAAGTTTCATTTATTTAACCAAAATTCATTCAGTTGGTTAATTTAATTTCATAAAATTAATTTAGCGTGAAAATTCCTTATTGGTATATAAAACTTCTATATGATGCTACAAGTGCACAAAAACAATGTATTCATCTTAAGAAACTTGGTGTCTTATAGAAGGAAGTAAGATAAAAGTATGCTAACAATTGTAATATGGGACTGATTCATTGTGAGAAGAAAGTACAAAAAAGATCACAAGTATAGAAAACATCACAGTTTTTTTGTTTTTTTTTTTATGCACTTTATTACACAGATCTGGGAGACAGCAAGTCACCTCTAAGACCGCCTCCTCACAGTTTTAAGAGTGTAGGAATTAGCTAAGAAATTTTCTGTCAGCCTGAAGCCCATCTTTTGTGCTTTGCAGCTATGCTGTAATTATTCAAAGGACATTTCTATTTTGCTACTGATTCCCTGTTAGAGTCTGCTGTCATTAGGGAGCTCTGAAGCTTATACACTGGAGGAGGAAGAAAGCATTTACTCTTTCCTTTAGCTTTCTATTTACTTCAGATCCTTTGAGTGACCCACCAGAATGTCTTCACTTGAGCCTTAGCTGTTTTTTTCCTGGAGAAGGAACTAATTTGCAGTTTCTGTAATTGGAGACAGCCTTAACATACACTTTCTCTCAGGGATGAATTGGGGGCCTTAAAACTTTACTCCTAGTTCAGTGCTTGCCTTTCTTCACTTTGAGTTTTCAGCTCCATGGAGCTGCTCCTCTAAAGTACCAAATTTTAATAATTCTCTTTCTTGTTAAAAGTTTAAAAACTTTGTAATTGGCGAAAAGACAATCAGGGGAATCAATGCTGGGATATCCAGAAGCTAGAACTTGACATGGATAGATATATAACACAGGATTGGTTAAGGGTATTTAATTGTTACTTAGTTTATTACACAATAGTCCAGGTAGTCCAGATAGTTTCAAGACAGATTTTTCTGTCTTATAACCTATTAGAAAACTAGTGAACCATGGCTGTTTCTAGAGGTTTGATGTAAAGATTTATCATTAATACTGTCCCCCAAGACCTTTTAGACATGATTGAATGGGAAACCACTTTGCTTTGTAAACTTTCACTGGAGAAAGATGAACAGTCCCCTCCCATTATCATTTACAGCCTTGAAAACTCAACAGTCATTACGAGTCAAAACTATTCAAAGGCAATGAGTTTGAGGTTTAATAGGTGTCAGGCAGGCTTAAGGGACAATTCTCAGTAAACACAGAGAAAAACAACATTGACAGCTTAATGGGAAATTGTAATATCTTCTCAAAAGCAAGTTCGTTTTCTTCCTTTTTGTGGTGGTGCTTTTTCTTTCTGCTTATGATTGGGAAGGAATATTAAGTGTTGCAGCAGTATATCCAATGTATAATATATCTTGGTGTGAAAAAGTCTGTGATTTTTATGAACCACATTATTTTAAGGACCACTTTGTTTTTTCTATGAAAGGATTTCAATTATCCCATATACTAAAATTCAGTCTTTATTAACTCTCTTTCATTAGTTTAGGGGAAGGGTGTATTTTTGTCAGTGACAGACAAATAAATAATGAGGTACTGTGATAGTTAACTATGTTCACTTAAAATACTTTTCCCCTAAGAACTTAATAGAGTTTTGTTTTGTTTTTCTTAACTTGTGATTTGAGTGCAACTTTACAGAGGAGGTTGGTATGCCATTAAACCATTCATACATTTTACTTTATGATCTTGATTACAAGTCCCACATTGTCTCATCACTCTTTGTACTATTCCTCTTTGTTTCCATCATCAATCTTCCAACTTCTCCCTTCCCACCCTCAGAGTGTTATCCTTGGACAAGTTGTGCCTTGTGATTGAGTGTTCTAAGGGCTGAGTTCCTCCCTGCTGTTACTGTTCACCTGAAAGATATAGTTTGGCTGGGAGCTCTGGCAGCATAATCTATAGCAGGTATACTGCTCTCTGGTGGTTCAGATCCACCAGCAGCTCCAAGGGAGAAAGATGGGCTATCTCCTCCTTTTGTGATAATATAACCTCAGAAACAGGATGCATCATCATCAGAGTCAGTATCTGACTCAAAGGCATTGAAGTTTTTTTAGTTATTATTTAACTGAAAGTTGTATCACAAGGATGAGTTCAGTGCCAGGCTCAAACATTACCTAAGGATTATGGACTTGGGTTTTACCGCTCTCCATCAGACCAGTCAGCCTGGCTATCATTCTAATGTTGAGTTTTATCTCCCGTTCTATCCAGGTGATCCCTTTCAGATTGGTTAGGAGTGATAACTGGACATAATCTAATTGGGGTCTCAGTGCCACGGGCTGATTGTTTCCCTATGTCTTTAATTTGCTAATTACCCCTTGTTCATAGCTTTTCTCTTCACCCAACTTAATATGTAGTAAATTTAAAAAGTACTAGACATCTTTTAAACTACAGGAATAACTTCTATATTGAAAAGATGTACATAAAATTGTGAAATGAGAAGGCAGAGTCAAATAAAAAGAAAGGAAGAGAAATACAGGGAGTGGAACCAAAGGGGCAAAAAAACCTGATGACATGTCATCCTTTTCATCTTCATTTGAACAATAGGTCTATCAGGAGACTATTTAAAAAAAATAATTCAAGTTTTATAGATCTCCTTAAACCTGTGAGGTTGATAGAAAAGTTGTATCTGACAGTTTTCTCATAGAGTTCCATATGTGCAGCGGTTCCAGAGTAGCTGGAAAATAACCAACTTGGATAATAACTCAAATTGTAATTGACTTAATCTATATATAACCAAAAGGTAGTGGGTGGTATGTGTGTGCTTTTGATATATATATTTTTTTTTTTTTAAGAAAAGTGATTCTCAATTGAGGCTTTTTTTTTGCTTTTGTTCTTTTGGTGTTTAGGCTAGACAGCAACAGGCAGAATTGGCCCAGCAGGAATGGCTTCAGATGCAACAGGCAGCCCAACAGGCCCAGCTTGCCGCTGCCTCAGCCAGTGCATCCAATCAAGCAGGATCGTCTCAGGATGAAGAAGATGATGATGATATTTGATGTGTGCAGCTGAGTTTCTGTTTCCTTTATAAATGGTTTTTCCCACAACAAAACAGTGAAAGAAATGCTTATCTGTAATTTTGTACGCATTTTGGTGGACTTGCCATTGTTATTCTTGGGATGTCTGCTGTTAAGTTTCTCTATTGTGTGCTATACATGTAAAAATTGTCTCTTTGAACTATTGAACATTTAAGGTTCAGAATAATATCAATTTTGAATTTTTAATGGTGTTTATGAAATTTTAGATAGCAGTAAATCCTTTATTTGATCAATAAACAGTGTTATAAAAAACTTCAAGTTTATAAAAATACAGTAATATTTATACAGAAGCTCTGCATCTGCATTTGCATTTCCTCTGTCCTTTTAACTAAACCAGAAATTGGGAATTTTAAATTATTTTGGGGATTGTGTTGTAGTAGACATTGGATCAGGTTGGTAAAAAAACAGACCGTTCAGTTTTGTAGTATCTGAATCTTTTGTCTTTTAAAGTGAGAGTGTATATATACAGGCAATAAATATATATACTCAGGTAAATAGACTTGTTGAAAACACAAAACAAGAAGAACATTTAAAAACTAGGAAGGAGTAGAGTTTTGGTAGTTGTATAAATTGATGGATTTTGTTTTTGATTTTGGGGTTTTTTGTGTGTGTATATTGGTAAATAGTCCAGTTTTATTATGACATAATTCATCTTGAGCTACACTATTACATTTCAAAGACTGCCCCATTTTGAAGATTGTCATAATTCTTAATATTTCACTCCAATTCAGTAATTGTTAATAGTATTACTTGCTTATTATTAGTCCATCCATGTTCATATTATTCAAATATCTAGATGGAACTTGTAAAACAATTGCTTGAGTTCCGTTGGTTTAAACTAAGGTTTGTGACTGTTCAAACCTTTACTGTGAGAAAGAAATGAAAATTGAGTATGCTTGCTGTAAAAGAGGAATTTTTAAAAAAATTTAATTTGTAGTAGTTATAGTTTACTTCCTGTTTGTTTTTAGCATTACTTTTACATTTTCTTGACTAGATGACCTAAAAAGTCCAGTGCTACCTTTTGATGTGACACCACTATCTCTTTCATCATTATTACGTGAAAGCTTGGGGGAGGGGGGCAAGATGAGTGTTTTTGTTTAAGAAAACATTACTTATCAGTACTATATGAAACCCAAATTGTTCATTTGAGCCTGCTAGTTAAAGAAGAGGGGAAGCTTCATTTGATTTCAATTATAAAACATGTTGAAGAAATGACATACTATTCATATTTTCAAAACCGGAAAAGTAAACTATAGTAAAAAATAATCTAAATTCCTATGCCAGTTGCCAAACCTTTAAATTTCTATGTTCACCAAGCCCAAAAATAGATTGTGACTGCTAAGATTCCAGTTTTATTGGAAAACTCAGTAAGAAAAGTTTACATGTATTAAATTTCTTCATCATCATATTTTACAGTTTTAGAAAACGTGAAATATTGTCATTTATTAAATAACATTTCCCCCATGTAACAAAAAGGTTAGTTTTACTGAATGTTTAAGTTACTTCATGAATGTCCTATTTGTGAAGTGCTGTAGGCAAGATGGAAGGAGTTTTTTTAAAAGGTTTAATTACCAAAGGTAGTCTAGTCTAGAGAAATAACAAATTAATAAAAGTATTGGCTTTTCTAATTTGTACTGTAACATTCTTACACTTTCTATTTTAAGTATATCTGTTTCTTAAGTATAAACAACTTAGATATTTTTCCACACTTTTTTTTCTGATGCAGAATTCAGGTTAATTAATATTTTACTGCATCTGATGATGTATTATATGTTTTGAAACCTAGTGACTTCTCATTTTGACATTCTTGTGATTTCATATGCTGTATTCTTCAAGCAATAAAATTCTGATGTGTTTTATAAATGGTTTTTATGTATTTCATGAGTTCTGTGGGTGAATGGGAGATTTCAGTTAGAGTAAAGCTTTCAAAAGCTAGCATCTGTATTTCTATCACAGAAGAAAAAGGTCAAATATTTTCCACTAGAATAGTGAGAAGATTATACCTTGTCAAAAATTGGAAACAGTGAAATATAAAAACAAAAAAAAGTAAGGCATTATTGTCAAGTTCTGGGTCTGTTTTCACTGTATACCATTGGCACTTAGTCCCAAAGTATCGTGGTCATTTGACCCACAGTACCCACCTTTCTCTCTTATTTATTGCTATTTTAGAACATGTGTTTTCAGTTGTACTTTTGCTATTTTCTGCCCTAGGATCCAGAATGAAAAAGCTAGCTAGGAAGTAATTTAGATTTTATTTTTTTTTAAATATTTTAGGATACTTTATATATTATGTCAGACCTTGAAATTTTTTCAGTGCCTTTAGAGATAGAAACAAAGACTCTGGAGTTCTAAAGTCAAATTATTGTTTAATATTTTCCTTATCCTCAGTATATGGTTTTCTCAGCAGTTTATCAGAATGATAAGGATTTAAAAGACACCAATGTTAAAAGCAGTATATACCATACAAACAAAATATACAATGAAAATTTAACACCAACTCGCTAGTCCAACAATGAGTATCCCAGAAGCACCATTCTTGCCCTTTCTAGTTACCTTTCTGCATGTGCAACTCAATGACATTGGTTATATTGACTTCCACAGCCATTCTTGTCATCTTTTCCTGAATTGTACCTCCCTCGTTAACATAAACTCAGTACGCCTTAAGATCCTTACATAACTTTTTTAGTTGCTGTCATCCATTTGATCCCAAATTTGTTGTTGTTGTTGTTATGTGCCGTTGAGTCGTTTCCGACTCATAGCAACCCTATGCACAACAGCCCTAAACCCTGCTCTATCCTGCGCCAACCGCACCGCCTCTGATACACCCATCCCGATTACCCCAGTCACCGAATCAATCCATCCCATAGAGGATCTTCCCCTCCTGCGCTGTCCCTCCACCCTCCCAAGCATGATGTCCCTCTCCAAGGACCCGTCCCTCCTGGCAACATGTCCAAAGTATGTCAGACGAAGCCCCAGAATCCTTGCCTCCAAGGAGTAGCTTGGTTTAATCCTCTCCAAGATGAATCTGTTTGTTTTCCTGGCAGTCCATGGTACATTCAGTACCCTTCTCCAGCACCACAGCTCAAAAGCATCCACTCTCCTTCTGTCCTCCCTAGTCATCGTCCAACATTCTTTACCAGAGTCGTTAAGTTTTAGAAGGTTTTAAGAAAACGTCAAGGAGTATTTTTTGTTTCCAGCTTAAAGATTATTTTGAGCCAGTGGTTTTGGGGGTTTATCCAGTCTCCATTTTCAGGCAGTCAGTATTCCATGAGAATTTGAAATTTTCTGCATTTTTTTTTTATTTGGTCAGTATTCTTCTATAAAATCTTTGATCAAAATGTTAAGTAATGGTAACCAGGAATTTGTCAGCCAGTACTTCTGGTCTTAAGGCAAAGGAGGTAATGGACTGATCAACATTCTTGTATGTATCTTCTGGATAAATATTAAACATGCATTTCTGTAACCTGTACACCTGGAAATGGAATCACGAGGTCAGTGAGTATACATGTATTCAGTTTTAGTATGTATTTCCAAAAGCATTTTCCAGAATAGTTTATAAGAAGGCATCACTTTAATGTGTGCATATCAATGATTTATTTAACACTAAATACTCAAAAGTATGTGCTCTTGTTACTGACAATATTTTAGTCACTAGATTATTCATCAGAAACGTTTTCTATAATCATAAACACTTTAAGTGCAAATTACAGAAAACTCTGATTTAAATTTTTTTATAAAAATAAGTTTAATCAGTAAACTTAAATTATTTTGGTAGACAAACTGTTGCCATCAAATTTATTTCAATGTGGAGCAACTCTGTAGGACAGACTAGAACTGCCCCTTTGGATTTCTAAGAGTAAGTTGACTACTACATCTTTCTCCTGCTAAGCAGGTGGATTTGAACTACCATCCTTTGTTAGGCACTTTAAAAGTACACAGATACTTCCTCTTATACTCACCCATTGCTCTTGAGTCAAAACCTACTCATAGCTGATCCTCTAGTGAGTTTTCAGAGACTAGTGAGTTTGCACAAAAGATTGCCCATCTTTCTCACACTGAATTGCTGAACGGATTCAAACCACCACAGAAGCGCCACCTTGATGTTAGCAACAAAACTACACCTATGGGCAAACACCCAGGTAAATGTTAGTGTCTAAATTATATATATGTCATTATGTACTGTTGGGACATCTGCAACTCATAGCAACCCTGTGCACAATATCTGTGAACTCTGTCCTGTCCTGAGCCAATCCCGCTGTCTGTGACACACCTACCCTTATTACCCCAGTCACTGTGTCAATCCATGTCATCCAGTCTTCCTCTCTTGTGTTGTCCCTTCACGCTTACAAACATGATGTTCTTAAGAACTGGTCCTTTTGGCAACATTCCTTAAGTACGTGAGAGGGAGCTTTAAAATCCTTGCTTTCAGAGAGCAAGTTGGCTTTACCCTATGCAGAAGAGATCTTTTTGTTCTCTTAACCTGGGTGGCTCCTTGGAGGCAAGGATTCTGAGGCTCCATCTAACATACTTTGGACATGTTGTGAGGAGGGACCGGTCCCTGGAGAGGGACATCATGCTTGGGAGGGTGGAGGGACAGCGCAGGAGAGGAAGGCCCTCTATGAGGTGGATTAATTCGTTGACTGGGATAATTGGGATGGGAGTGTCAAAGAGTGCGATTGGCACAGGACAGAGCGGAGTTTAGGGCTGTTGTACATAGGGTCGCTATGAGTCGCAGGCGACTCGACGGCACATAACAACAACAGCCATCTGTGATATATTCAATACTCTTCTCCAGTGTCACAACTCAAAGACATCAATTACTCTTCTGCCATCCTTATTCATTGTCCAACTCTCTGGTGTATATAGCAAGTAATTGTGAAGACCATGGCTTGAATATGATGCATCTTAGTCTCTAGACTGACATTGTTGCTCCTTAGCACTCTGGAGAGGTCCCTGACGTT